GTGATAATTTTATTATCTATAATTTTATTATTAAATTCATACATATTACTTATAATATTTTATGTACATCTGTGCATGTGCACAAGATGATAACTAGTATATATAATTGCTAGCATATAACATTTAATAACACCTCTAAAATTTTCTCTCCATTTTCGGTTACAAAATTTATCATTAATATTTTTTTGCTTCTCACATTAATATATCATATTGAGTGTAATCATGTATGTTTCTATTATATTATATAATAATTATTGCTAATACCAACTAATAATAATTCACAATAAATATTAATAATCTATATATATATATATAATTGCTAGCATATAGCATTTAATAAAACCTCTAAAATTTTTCCTCCATTTTCGGTTACAAAATTTATCATTAATATTTTTTTGCTTCTCACATTAATACATCATATTGAGTGTAATCATGTATGTTTCTATTGTATTATATAATAATTATTGCTAATACCAACTAATAATAATTCACAATAAATATAAATTACATAATTATAAACAATTGTTTCAAGTTGTTTATTTACATAAATATTATCTTTTTCTTTTGTATCTCATGAATAAGTTTCTTTAAAAACAATTAGTAAATTAATTTAATAGCATAGTCAAACAACTTTAGAATCTTATAAACAATTGTTTTTCATAATAATAATAATAAAAATAATAATAATAATAATAAAATAATTATAATAATAAATATATATATATATATCTATATATATAATTGCTGGCTAATAGCATTTAATAAAACATTTAATAAAATTTTATTTCGATTTCCCTCCAAAAACCATTACAAACTTTATCATTTATATCTCTCTCTCTCTATATTTAATTACTAATAATAAATTTAATAATATTGATTATTGTTTACCATCTTTTTATGTTACATCTTCTATTATTATTATCATTATTATCTATTTATATAATTACAAGCTGATGCATTTAATAAAACATTTAAAAAACTTATTTTCATTTCCCTCCAAATGGAGTTACATTTTTTTAATTAATTACTCACTAATCGCAAAAAACCTTAATATATAAATATTTTTATTATTTATTTTTTGGATCAGTTACTAAATTAATTCTAAATTTGGTAGCAAAATATTCAAATGTGTAACGGCTAATGTTTGGAACTTAAAGTTGATTGGCACGTTCAGAGTCATAACCGCTATATTTGGTTGCATTGTTGGAAGAAAAATATGATTGGCACATTTTTTTTTTTCTAAAATTTGAAACACTAATATTTTTTTATTTATGTTAATTTTCTTAATATATGCCACAAATATATAAATTATTTTAAACGTTGCATGGTTAAAATAAAATTTAAATCTTAATCAATTTTGAATGATAAGAATAACTTAAGAACAAGTAATAATTTTTATATGATATAAGTACATGTCTAATTAATAAATACAAACAGAAAATGTGTTTTATACCTGTGCATTTTGCACAGTATCAAATACTAGTATATATAATTGCTAGCTTAGCATTTAATTTACCTATTTAATAAAACCTCTAAGATTTCCCTCTATTTTCGGTTACAAAATTTATCATTAATATTTTTTTACTTTTCACATTTATACATCCTATTAAGTGCAATCATATACTTTTTTATTATATTATATAATAGTTATTGAATACCAATTAATAATAATTGGCAATAAATATAAATTACATAATTATAAATAATTGTTTCAAGTTATTTATATTAACATCAATATTATCAATTTCTTTTGTATCTCATGAAAAAAATTCTTAAAAAACAATATTGTTTTAATAACATAGTCAAACAACTTTAGAAGTTTAGAACAATTGTTTTTTAATAATAATAATAATAATAATAATAATAATAATAATAATAATAATAATAATAATGATAATAATAATAATAATAATAATAACAATAATAATAATAAACTGTTATTATCTAATGTCAATAAACAATTGTTGATAATAATAAAATCGTTAATTTATTTTTCCTAATGATCAAATTTTTGAAAATTTAATATGTTCATTATCTAAAATTTTAATATTAAATTCTCAAGTATTATTTATAATATTTTATGTACATCTGTGCAGGTGCACAGAATATCTACTAGTTAGTAGTATTTAATATTTAAATGAGGTTTCTTATTTATTATGCACGAGTTTATAAATTCAAAGAATCGAGCACGCATTTAATTTCTTCTCATAATTAGCATAAAAAGATTTGCGAAGTTAATTTGAACTAATGATACACTAAAACTTTCTAATTTCTATAGGCCTATAACGAAATTCCTTGAAATTCTTGTTGAACCATTTACCTTTATGCAATAAAAGTAGGTGAACACACACTTAAAACATACTAAAATAGTACATACAAAAAATTCTTACCTTTTAACATACGGTAATTCAACTTATAAAAGGTAAAAAAAAAAAAAAAAGAGTTTCACAAATTATGAAATAATAGAATTAAGTGACCTCAATGTCAATTTTTCTTTTAGTCTCACATGATGATGTCATTGTCAATATTTTTTTTATCCCAAAAAAAATAGAAAAAAATGAAATGTTAAAAATTATGTCCGAATTAGGACTAATTTAGTCACCAAGTTCAGATTAGGCAATGTTAACAATTATGTATGTTTGAGTTTACTTAAAAGTTCAAATTACACGTGTTGATTTAAATTTTTCCACAATAGAATTGTCTAAAAATTCAATATATAGGTATGAAATTCATCTAATGACAGTTATTTATACCCACAATTAATATAAATAAATATAACTGTGCGAAGGTATTGTGCGATGAATATGCGACAGTTATGCAATTGATATGCGACAGTTATGTGGCAGTTTTTCGCATAACCTTCGCATATGGACAATTATGCGATGAATATGCGACCGTTTTCGCATAACCTTCGCACTTTCTAGGGTGAAAAACTTAGTTTTTTATTGGGCGGTGTGAAAAACTTAATTTGTCTTTGTTATGGGGTGAAAAAATTCTTTTCCCTTAATTCAAAACGTGTTGAGCCTAAGTGGCAGCTTCTCACGCTTCGGATGCTGACATGACGAAAATTTATGCTCCATGTTGTTGTTTTTATATTATTTTTGCTCTGGAGTTAGGTTTGGTATACTACAATTCCTACGAAAAATTCCAACGGCAAAAATTTCCGTTGGAAATTCCAATGAATATTCCAACAAACATAATTTTATGTTGGAATAAGTGTTGGATAGTTGAGGAATTTCAACGGATTTTTTCCGTTGGAATAGCCGTAGGAATTTATTTCCATAAGATTGTCCGTTGGATATTTGCTATTCCAACGGCCGTCTTTCCAACGGATTTTTATACGTAGGAATATTCGTTGGAATAACTATTCCAAGTTCCAACGGAAATATAAAAAATTTCAACCAAAAATTTCCGTTGAAATGTAAGAGTTTTTTTTGTAGTGGTATTAGACATCACTAACTTTCATCATATATTTCTTAACTCAACATCCATGTGTACATGGGTATTGTACTTGTAGAGTTTAATAGAAGTGTGGTCGATATTTAAAATAAAAGATGGAATAAGAATAACATTCATCAGTGTAAGATTAATATATGATATGATATTCAATTAAAATACTCCTTATTATAAAAATATTTTCAGAATTAGATTTTCAGATAAAAAAAAAAAAAAGGATTAAAACCGCTAGTTACAAGTCAATATAATTTGCTCCTAAATTATTTGATGCATAAAATTCCACATATAATAACTAAACGCAAGGTTTTGCACCTACCGTTTATAAAAGAATTTTGCTATTAAGATATAGCATATATAATACTGGATTTTTTTTATTTTTTTTTTTAGTTTTACAAATTTAATCGATGATGACAATAAATGAAAAGTCAAACACGCGAGATCATACTCTGATATTCAAATTATTAGCTCCATTAAAGCATTCATTTAATATGTACTAACTTATATTTGGTGAATAATTCTAAACTGATGATGAGTGAATAATTCTAATAGACTTTAAAAAAAATCAAAACTTTGCTTAAAATTGTAGAAATTCAAAAAGTTTTTTCCGCACCATCAATTATATATATTGAAAGAATAATTGTAATTTACCTAATAATTACTTTCTAAAACGTCTTTTAGTTATTTTCAAAACTCTACATTCAGGAGGTAGAGATCAGAGAAGCTATGAAGAGGACGAAGGGAGGTAACGTAATGGCCCTAATGGTATCCCCATTGAGGTGGAGATGCTTGGGCGCCAGAGCATTAGTATGGCTAACTAAGCTTTTTAACCTCATTTTCTGGTCAAACAA